ATATTTCCTTTATCTTCTCGAGCCGATCCTTGAAATTTTCTGTTCAGCTCTTGGACCTCCTCTTTTCTTCCATTTGCTTCTTTTTTGTCTTCTTAATGACTTTTTGCTCTCTTCATGTATGATGTTCTTGATGTCATCTCACAACTCTTCTGGTCTTTGGTCTTTAGTGTTTAATGTATAAAATCTGTTCTTCAGATATTCTCTTAATTCACTGACTCATAGTGAACCTATCTATAGGATTTGGAGGAGCAGTTGGTGGATTTAAACTTAATATTCTCAGACTAATGCTGATCCTACAGCACCACACCAGGAGACCACTGTGTCATTGCTGTTGTTTTTGTTGTTAAGTGCTGCCAAGTCAATTCTGACCCATAGCAACTCTGTATAGGGTTTCTGAGGAGTAGCTGGTGAGCTTGAAACACCAACCTTGAGGTTCAAATGGCTATGCAGCTCAGTGCATTAACCCAAACCACAGAACCATAGTCACCTTTTATGTTGCTGACAAAAGGGTCTTTGCAATGCATGAGTCATTGGTCTTGCAAAATTTTGTCATGCTATCTCCATCATTGTTTCTATTACCAAGGCCTTATTTTTCAGCTACTCATTCTACTTCTTTTGCTTCTGACTTTCAATAGGCACAAAGGTACAGTTCATAAAACTGTAGCAAGTGACAGTTACTAAGGCATATCAAACATCTTTATCTTCATCTGATCATGTTTTATAGTCAGCTCATTCCTAGCCATCCAAGCAAAGTCAAATGGGTACTAGCTGCAAGTTTGGGAGCTCACAGACACCTCCTTGCACTTCGTGACAGTGATCCATCCGTTTCACTCCCAGTCCTATCCCCTATAGGCTAGCTCCCTGCATTTTGGCTCAGGAATTCACACAACTCACTCAACTTCAGACCAGGCAGCCTTCCCTCTTATCACATCTCAGAGTCAATGGGTGCCAATAGAACATGTCCAAACTTGGCCGCTGTGCTCATTGCTGCATTTCTCTTAATTCCATTTATAAGTAGATCCAGGTGGTCACCAGCAAGCATAAAGCTCATTGGTTCCATTTAATTTTCAGTCCTAGAAGGGAGTTTTCTCTGATCAGCTGACTTTTCTTGCCTTGATTACTCCAAAACTCAAAGTACTTTTTTCTCTGCTTGAATCTTTAGTTCTCCCAGCAGATGGTTTGCATGTCTTTTCAAATGCATGT